TTGTCTACTCATTTATTCATGACTATAAATTTCTCTATTAATAGTTAAACTTAAAAACTTTGCAAATGAGTAGTACAACCAATTTTAACAACTTTAATTCAAGGATATTACATTGTATAAATAATGGGTCCATAAAGCCACGTACCTCTAATTGTGACTAATTGCTTTAACAAAATCTTGAAATTTAATCTCTAAGAAGCATATATCATATGCATAATAATATTTACAAAATTATTTTAAACCAAAAACATGAAAAACATATTTTATTAATAATTCATTTGCCACTAACCATATATCTTTAACCTTCAAATATTGACACATATTTTATGTGTTACACTTAATATTTGTTTTAATTTAGATAGAATGAATTAATATATATTTATTATGTAAACAATTATCTTGATTTTATAAAATCAAACAACATAATAAATATTCTTTATGCACATATAATCTAAAATAAAATTATATTAATATATGTTCTTCACATAAAATTTGATACATTGTGTATAAATATTAATACACAATATCAAAAGATTTAAAACCACCCAATGCTTAATTGCTGCAAATTACGTAAGTGTCGACAGCCTTACATTGTGTCAGATCCGCACAATAACTTCTAATTGGTCATGTGTCGACACCTTCACCCGTTGTGGAAGAAACAAGTCCATGTCGGACTTTTGGATCATTATGCAATTTCTAAAAATGGTAAAATAACAACACTGGTCCCTCAACTTCTATTTACATTTCCTTTTAACTTAGCTGAACTCCTTAACAGATTCGGATATTTAATCCTAATCAACTCTTTTTTTCACTTCCCATTAGGATTCCAAATCCTAAAACCTTTTTTTTTTTCTCCTTTTAAAATTGGTTAATTCAAATAAGGCATTAAATAACAAAAGAATATCGTAATATAAACTCATAAATCCAACTGAATTCAATTAAATTCACCTCCATTTCACATAATTATTTATGAAGATTATTTTAAAAATGAGAAAGAGAAAAGGAATAAATAGTGATTAATATTAAATTTATTATCTGAACATTAATTTGTAACCTTATTAGACCACTAGAGACAGATTTGCATTAAACAGAATTACTAAGGGACCAAATAATAGTTTTCCTATTAATTATCTCCAGTAACCAACAGATATGTCTCACAACATAAAACTAGATTTTGATCGAATTGCCAGCTACCCAGTTTATACCACCAAACCAGCAAACAATTCCTCAGTCTCCACAAATCTTTTCAATTGATCTCCACATATATCATCACAACCAGAATCAATGGATTCAATAAAATTAAGGTTTGACCTTAAATAAAATCCAATAAAGGCAAATTTGTATAGCTTTTACATATTAATCAAACTAAGCCTTTAAACATCAATCTTGACTCACACGATTGATTTAACAATTGCTCTCTAATATAACCAAACAATTTCATATTCAGTATGAATAAATATATTAATTTTGAAATCAAAGATTTCAAGTTAACTCAACAATGGTTATTTCAAGAACCACTTACAAATTAATCTTTTTGGATCCTAAATCTACATATAACTTGCTCTGATACTACATGTTGAAATTTTTAAGGATCGATATATGTAAAATTTAGGATACCAAAATCTAATAAAATAAATACATTATGTACTTGGATCTCTTTAATCAATATATTACCTAAGAATTTTTAAAGATCTTCAAGAATCATCATAATTAAGGATTTTATGACAAAAACCTATAAAAATAAATATAGTTAGTATTGGAATTTAAGTCTTCCTCTCCCTAATCAACTTCTGTATAGTAACAACCAATGAGTCATGTTACTCCCTAACTCTCTTATTTATAAAGGTAGGATTTTCTGAATAGGAGAGGGGATCTAATCCATTATAATAATATTTTGAGTACCCTCATCAGGTAACTCACCTTTACTTTCAGATCCTACACCTATTCATATCACACCATATAAAACTGAGATAAAACTTAGATCTACTTGGATCACATTACTTTATTAAGTTTTATAGATTTTTTTCATTTAACCCAATTTTTAAAAACTAAATATAATTAGCGACAGTCCATATAAAAATTTCCAATAGGTATATCAAGGAGATTGAACTGACACATGTAAACTTCTACAATTTTCACTCATGTTTCTTTTGGATCATACAGCACAGGAAGTGAACCAAAATAGAGGCTTTAGCAAGAGGTAACTTGTATTTTATGTTCTGTTTTGTTGGTTACTCATCATATCCACGTAGTGGTCTGTTTCTATTACCTTTGATAGTCTATTAACCTTTCATTCCTGCCATGCCAATCTAGAATTTTTGATATTTTGTTTTGTAGATTGGCAACCATTTGCCCCAGTTGTTCATAATGATATACTGATTTACCTAGAAAAGTTTATATACATTGCCTTTTCATCATTCTTAATTAAAGTGAGTATTATTAAAAAAAATTTAAATTAAAACTTTAATTTTTTAAAAATTAAAATTAATATACCTTATTTTCATTCATCAATAGCTTATAAATTTTTGTGCTTTTGTAATTGAATCACTAGAAAAATTTGATCATTTTAATTTTATGTTTTAATATTCAAGCCTCAGAATTTATAAATATCATTGTATTGTAGCTGATACTTAACATTAATATTGATTTGCGTATATGATATGACCTCTCCTCATCATAAATCTCTTATAGAAAAAAATGAATCCACGTTAGGGTGGTTTTTTTTTTTTATCAGCGAAACAAATGATATATATTAATCAGGAGTATAAGAAATACCCCAAAATGGAATTACAACTATCAAGTAAAATGTTCAAATGAAATCACATGAAATCACACTTGAAGCCTAAAACTAGCCTCTAGTAGTTAAGTACAGTAAAATCATCCCACATCTCGCTGCCGCATGTGATACATTTTTCGATTACTACGATGCTGAATAATTGCTTCCTGCACTCCATCGAACTTGAAACCCATTCTTGATAAGAAAAAACACTCCCTTTCTCTTTATTTTTAAGCCATAAAAATTATTTATGTTGTATATACTCCAAAACTAACTCCTCAGACATCAACTTTGTTCCAAACACCTGCATATTCCTCCGAAACCAAATAAACCAAGCAACAATCAGAAAAATGAAAGCCCCTAAATCCGCCAAACAACCCCCACTAATACCATGTGTCACGAACTCTGCCAAACCAAAGATGTCTTTCGACAAAACACCCTGTAATCCCCACCATCGCAACACCTTCATCCACACTAACCATGCTCCTTTACACTCACAAAAAATATGATTCACCTGATCCACTCCCTCCCCACAT